CAATATAGTTTTTATTTACTATAAATAATTATATTATATCAATATATAATATTCAATAATATATATATATATTATAAATTAATCAAAAAATAAAAATATAAATTTCATATATAATATAATAAATTATAAAACATATATAATTGTAATTAAATTAGTCTATTCTAATTCAATTATTATATATTAATAGGAGTATGAGATAAAGCCCATAGCAGGAGAATAACAGAATCAGAGCAAAACATAAAAATATCCAATTTAACAATTATAAATAAATATACACAATTATATTCACAAAAATAGGCAGACCGAATTAACGAAAGCGATTTCGGAATATATAATTCTAGAAATCCAAATATCTAAAAACGAATAATAACTAAAATTTCTCAATGCCTCAATATACTTCCTAAAACATTATAACACACAAAACAACAATATGTCTCAAATATCCAATACCAATATATAAATATATAATCAACCTCAACAAAAACAAAATAAATCCGACCTCAAAAATCCATCCACATATATAATTATTACAATATACTCAAAAATACCATCAACAAAAAAACATCCTAAGTACAAACAAAACCGAACTAATATCGTAAAAAACATTAAAAATAATCCTCATTAATCATAATAATCGGTTTTTATATCGCCAAATTCTCGTAAAACAAACACAATATTTCAACCAAAATAATAATAAAATATCTAAATAACCTATTTTTCTAACTATCCTTTATAATTATATTCGTTTTATAACAAACCATACCAATACGATTTCGATCAACCTAAAAAATCATATACTTAAATCCCTTAAACTAAGCCGAAACCGGCCAGCTTCACCATTTCGACCAAAAAGAAACCAAAAAACAAATCGATTCCAATTTTAAAATAAATCGCTCCACCCCTCTAAAAAATTATCTTTTATTCCTCCATAAATCTTTCAACCAAATCAAACCTATACAACATATACAAAATTCAAACCAAAACAACGACCAACAACATGTTTGCCTTCATATCCCAATAACATATATCAACAATCTCTATCATTAAATTATTCCAATTTAAACTAATCCAACCTATATTATCTAAAACATAATATTTTAAACCTTACACTTAAATATTATACACACCTAAACACAATATCCTCCAATTTCCATCAAAATTATCCTAACTCTCCCAACAACATAAAAAACGGGCCCCAAACTTTATGAATTCATAAACTCATAAAACTTAACCTACACAATATCAATTTCAAACAAACAAACAAATAAGCAAACAAAAACAAAAACAAAAACAAAAACAGAGACAAAGACAAAAAACAAGAGACAAAGACAAACACAGAGACAAAGACAAACACCGACACACAGACACAAACACACAGACACACAGACACAGACACAGACACAGACACAGACAGACACAGACAGACACAGACAGACAGATAGACAGACAGACAGACAAAGAAACAGATACCAGAGACAGAGAGACCAACAGACAAAGAGAGACAGAGACAAACGCCGACAGAGAGACAGAGACAAACATATACTTTTTGCAACTCAGGCACCAACATATTTTATCATCAGATATGAATCAAAAAATGTATACTCGTCGCATGCGAAAAGCATGCTGCCGTTCTCCAAACACAGGTCGCGAGACGCACTGAGGGCCCTGGTTGCGATAAGGTCACGCCAAAAAGTCAGTGAAAGGCGGTCGCCTGAGCAAGGTGAGAACGGATCCGCGGGCTGTTGGCCTCAAAAAGATCCATCCACACACGCAGTTGTTGCAAGCGCAAGCGAAAACGCCATCGACCAGAAAACATCCTGGGTGCAAGCAAAGCCGATCTGATTTCGCCCAAAACACCAAAGAGTCAGTGAAAGGCGGTCGCCTGAGCAAGGTGAGAACGGATCCGCGGGCTGCTGGCCTTAAAAGACCCATCCACACACGCAGTTGTTGCAAGCGCAAGCGAAAACACGATCGACCAGAAAACATCCTGGGTGCAAGCAAAGCCGGGCTAATTTAGCCCAAAGCAGTGGGAAAAACACCACTGGTCGCAACAATCGGCCGCGGCTCACAGCTTCTTTAAGCGACCACATAACCTCCTATACTACCATGTAGACATAATCAATGTAAGGAACAAGGGCATCTATAGCAAGATCGGGCTTTATATCCTAAAAACACGGCATAAAGGCCGAATTCTACGGGCAGCTAATGGACAAGAAGAGTAATAACATGCAGGTCAAGCTCCAACCGGCCAGTCACGGATGAGAGCCACGACACGAAAGTCGAGCATTGCAGCCAAGGCTGTGCAGATTGAAGGAGGTGTTCAGCGGCTGCGTAAAAAAGAAGAAGAATGCAACACGCTCCATGGCCGGTGATAGTCCGATTCTCGTCAGCGAGAAGGTGGTGTGAATGGATCCGGAGTTGAGAGATCAGGCGCTGTGAGAAGCTGCATGCGATGGGAACCGATTGAAGATGCATTATGTTACCAGATGGGGAAGTGGAAGAGCCTTCTGGAGTGGTGTCCATTTCGACTGGATCTAAACAACGACCGTCGCTCGGCACCCAGACGACTTTGGTCAGGCAAATGGAGTGGACCCGTCTGCGCGCGCTGGCGCTCTCTCTCAAAAAAATAAAATTATATCCTCCTTTCACCTCGAACTCAAGCATAATATAAAACAAAAAGGTAAGGAAGAAGGAAAGCGAATCAAAAATATAATGAAAAACTAAAAGCTTCCCAAAACCAATTATACATCCTGGAGATCCTCCATCATATCATCATTCTAGCGGGTTCATCCTAAAGCCACAGACAGCTTTCAATAGCAACCCCTTCCCACATCCAACAATGAATGATCCAAGCGAAAAAGAAGAAAGAGAAGAGACAGGAAAAGAGAATGACAAAGAAATGAGAAAGATAAGGCAGGAAGTGAAAAGAGAAAGAAGAAGAGGAGGATGAGAAGGAAAAAGGAAAACACAAAAAAGAGAGAGAGAGCGAGAGAGAAAGACGGGACAATATAAGTGGTTGCGCGCGCAAGGTTCTTTGCGGCTTGAGCTGGCATGCCTGCGCCGGTGGTTTCGAACAGCCTTCCTAGCACCGCTCATGTTGCGCTTTTGTCAACGCCCGCTTGCTTCTCGCACGGCTGTAACTCACGTACCCGGCTGCCTCGGCTGTGGGCCCGGGCGCCACTCGTTTCATGCTCGCGCACACACTTGCGCAGGCATTTGCCCGAACATGCTCCTTTGCGCGGCACCCTTGCCTGAGCTGGCGTGGGTGCGGCGCCGGCCTTCAACATTCACGCTGGCACCGCTGCCTTCTTTCACGCACGTGCTTGCAAACCCGGTTGTTGGGCGCTCACTCGCGTGCTCCCCCTGCCTCCTCCCGAGCTGGCATGCGCCGGCACGCGTGCGACAGCCGCGTGGTTTTCCAGGCTCGTCATCTTTAACCCGCAACTTGAGTCAACACCGGGCTCGGTCTGGCCCACACACCCGGAATTCCAGGTGTCTTTCTGCCCGGACCTCGGTCCCAACCTTCCAGGCCAGCTGCGTGGGTGGCGGTGGAACTGGAAGGGTCCTGGTGTCGCAAAGCTCTCCGCTCCCTCATCCAAACTCCTCCCATTCTGCAACCACTCCACTTCCCGCTCCAGCGTTAGTATTGTAGCTTTAAAATGTTAAACTAAGTACTAGTTGTATTAGCTGTATTATTCCCATTGCCCTCCAGCACATACGTAGCCCAACTTTTCTATCTGTATGCGGGACACCAGAAATCTGCAGAGGGTCTGGCCCTGTTAAGTAAGAAATTGAAATACATCAGTTCCCAAACAGGCAAATAATGCTAAAATTTGTTTTGGCAATGCTAAATTTGTATTGGCAATGCTCATTTATGTGCAAGCAATACGAACTTCTAGAACTAGCAATGCGAACTATGGTATTTGCAAAATTTCGTGCTGGCAGTACCAAAAAAAGCACTGCAATGATACACAAATTGTGCTAACAAAATTCAACTTAGTACTATGCGCAGCCGAGTCAACTCTACTTGTTGGCCATGTAATTTACCAAGCAAGGCGCGCACGGTGGTAAATATTTGCCTTGCATTGTTGCAAATGATACTCTAAATTTTCGTCAATCACTATACATTCGAGCCATATCACAATAGCATACTAACAAAATAATTCAATCCGCATAGGGCAAAAATTGAGCCAGACATATTTTGCACACATAGGCACAATACATCCATAACCTCCTACTCTCTGCCCCTCCCTACCGTTGCATCCACCAGGCATGGTCCAGCAGCGCCATGCAACGAAACAAAGCGGCAGAGGCCCTACCTCAAGCTGAAACACGAGCCTCCTACTCAACCACGCTTCTACAAACAAACGCAACAACAACAATAGGCTTCTCAAACCCCCTTTTCTATACCGCCGTAAGCAAAACTCAATCAAGCAAAGCCTCTTCAAAACCAACTTTCGAATTAACAACTAAAATGCTAATCTACATAAACATTTAGACGCAATAAGTATAAACACCTACATCAAGTAATGCACACATATACATATACTCATATATAGATATACACACCAACAAATAGCACATATTTTGGACCATCCCCAATCTTTCAAACTTCTAATTAAACAACCAACACTAACAACACTGCCCGTTCACCAGCGAGTCCTCTTCGTAGATGTCCCCCCAACGCTTCAACCACCAACATCGAAGAAACCAGGGACGTCGAAATGGCAACTCTGAACATACCCTACAGCAAAGCATCCAGGGAGTCTCCTTGAGAGTATAGTTTATAACATGCTGAGATTATTCCGCATCTCAAATTTCAAGGATGACTCTGTTTTTTAAACAATTTATTCTGAAATATTAATCCGAACCTTCATTTTGTAAATTGGCTCAAAAACAAACATATCTCCTTCAGAGGTTGCGCTTCGTTGTTCGAGGCCGCACAGCTGGCCGAGAACTGTGGGGGACCTCTCATCCAACAAGCGCAGGATTCCTTTTTTGCAGCCACCCTCGCAGTCCAAAGCGTGCAATTCAGTGCCAGTCTGCCCACGCTTGCGGGTCGCGTGCAGGAAGGTGTGCTTGTCAAGAGGGCAATCGTCTCGTGAAATGGGCAGGAGGAGAGGTACGTCCTTGTTGGATGCACGAATTCTACTGTGCTGTTCACTGACGCAGTCTGCAGGCGGTTTGCCTTTGGCACGCACTACCCTTGAGAACTCTGCGCCGGGCAGCCATGAAACATGAAAGGCACTCAAGGCACTCGCCAATTCTCTTGCAAAGCATCTGGAAGGACCCCGCCTGTCTGTGAAACTCTTCGTAGATCACACAGCAACGGTCTCAGAGCTCATGAGCATGAGCTCACGGGTCTCGCCCGGATTCTTGCATGCATTTGAGGTGCCTTGCCGCCGCCTTGGAAAACAAAGCATCCCATTGCAGACAGGATCCGCGTGTGGAGGGGCGGGACTTGTCCGATCCTCGCGAACTCTGAGACCCAAGGCGGGTGCTGCAGGAAGAGAACTCCCTTGGAGAGCACGAAATGGGACTCAAAGCCAGCAGTCTCTCAGAGAAGAAATCGCAAAGCGAGAGATCTTCCTCCGATGCAAGTTCGCATCCAAGACCATCTGGTTCTTCTTGCGGCTTCCAAATATCGGGCAGCGGAGGTTGACAAATGGATATTGAGGTGCCCACGCTGAGCGATGGAGGGCTCCTAGCCATTGAGAACATGGGGGACGTGTGCATGAATCTCTGGCCAGGCCTTGGCGAAAGATCTTTGGAGCCTCTTGCATCTTGGAGATCTCTTGTGGCACCTCCTGCAAGCATGGTGCGCTGGCGCTGTGCAAACATGTGTGCTGTAGGTTTGATGCTGTGCCCCAAAAAAAACTAACAAAGAACAGGCAAGCCCTGGAGGCGGTAGAGTCAAATGGAAGGCGTACGTGACTTGAAATTCCAAAAAGCCTTGCACGCGCAACTTGCCGGGGACATGGACGAGGCACCAGGCCTGCGTTGGCTGGCCCACTTTGTGATGCTACATCATCATCATCATCCAATGGATTGAAGGCTCGCCATGCTGGTGGCGATGAGTTTACTTTATCCAGCTTTCGCGCCCGTCGTACATCCGCCTCAACAACCACCTCGGGCAGTGAATTGCCGCGGCTAGGGCTTACCATTTAGCCATGCCTGCCGTTGTTTTCCCTCATTTGCATGTTTGCCCTCCCAAGCCGCCTGCAATTCAGAGGCAAGAACTCTCGAGTCAGTGTCGCGACAGCTCTGCACGACCTTTTCGGCAACATGCTGCATGTGCCAACATGACACTTTTGGCAGCTCTGTGTGCGTCTCCATGCCCTCCTCATTGCTCACTGGCATCCTTCCAGCTCGACCTTTCTGCATTTGAATTGCCAACCTCTCCTCTTGGATTCGCTTGGCCTCCTGTTCCAGAAAGGCAGAGCCTACCGCTCGCAAACGGCCTTCTGGCGAGTAAATGCTTTGAGTGCTGAACACATCCGTAAATTCTCGAATCTTATCAAGCAGGGTCTGCTCCGGTGGCCAACATCGCACTTTCCTGGGCGGGCTTACCGTACAAACCTTGCCCAGTGCCATGCATCTTTGACGGAAGAATGATTCTTCTGCTGCAGAAGTGTGAGTCCTGACAGGGTCATGAACAACATTTCCTGTGCCCACTGAATGCCTCGAAAAAACAAGCATGCGTAGCTTCCATCTAGGAACTTGAGGGCTAGGACAACCGCTGTCGAGCAACCGCGCAGAGCAGCTTCATTGGGAAGCCCCACAACAACCTCCTTCTATACATCGGTTTGGATGCGGTCCAACTGTTTCATAGTTTCTTCTGTAGTGCTGTCTCATTGCATTCAACATCCTTCGGCACAAAAACAAAATCCAAACGCTCTTCCAGACTCCTACTCCCACCCCACAAGAAGACAAAGCTAAGCGGTCTGGATATGTCTCTGCCGAGACGGCTGAGCTAGCTTGTTGTTTGTGAAAAAAAACAGCTTGTCAAGAGTTGCAGGCTGGCATTTTAGGCAAGCTTCACTTGCGAGCGCTGGCTACTGCTCATGTGAACGGCGACATCCTTCGCGAAAAGGGTAAAAACTGAGCCGGCAGTTTCACATATCACTTGGCGGACATGCTCGCGTTCGCCCTTCAGGAAGTGGCTGAGTCCGTAAGTGGAGCCAGGAAGCAGCAAAGACAGCACTGTCTTGGAGACGGGCACTTTCTCCGCCTTTTCTCTCTCTTTCTCCCTCTCTCGGTCCAGCTCAGAAGGTCGTCTTCGGCGCTCCTCCTTCACTTTCTTGTTATCTCTGCCTTTGAGCTGCCCTCGAACTGAGAAGCTGCCTTGACTGATCAGGTAGATGTGCATGACTGGCGTGCCCAAGTTGATTAGAATTCCCTGCCGGCAATACAAGCGGCTTTGCATCAACGCTGCCAGGTTTGCAATGTTGGGCAAGGATGCCAGCAAAGGAATGCTGCGCAAGAAGGCCTGGAAAGTGCGAACGATGCAGTGGATGCAAGCATCAAAAACAACTACAACACTTTCAGCCCTACACTTGCCTGGCGATCTTGCTGAATCTTTTGCAAACAGGAATGCAGTATTGATTTGTAGTCCTCCCGAACCAAGGTTGCAAAAATAGTATCGCTCCGCGTCTTTACTGTGGCTGCTCGTGGTTGATCTGTCTGCAAGGCGATTTCTCCAAAGCAGTCACCAACCTGAAGCACTGCAACTTCCACCAGCTTGGGTCCTTTTAAGCTCATCAATGGCCTACTTAAAAGCGTTTTCATCAGGCTCCGCTGGGTTACTTTCTTCAAGCTCTTCTTTTCGTCTTCATCCACAACTCCTTCTGCTTTGTTGATGTTCTGAAGTTGCATAGCTAAGTCCGCATCGCTGTTTTCACTGGCGGCAGATCTCGCAGAAAGTCTGCTTTCACTTCTTTGCAAATGTTCGGGTTGCTGAGGTTGCTCAGCTTCTCCTTTGCTTTCTTCCGGTTTACCTTCGCCGTCCGGGCTCGAAACCCTGTCTGCATCTTGCCCCACGTCAGGTGCAATGGTGACCTGCTTTGCCCCTTTCCTGTCATCCATATCATTCTCATCAGCTTCTACATTCATATCTGGATGATTCGGCAGGGTGACGCTGCTTCGGCCAACTACTCTTGCTGCTAGAAGGCTTCCAGGAGCAAGGCCAAATCGACGCCGTTTAGAAAGTTCCATGTAGGTTTCGCTCAAGTCGCTCAGGTCGACACATGCTTCAGGAGCATGCTGGGCTGGGACTGGATCTGTTGGCTCCTCTCCTTCAGGAGCAAGCTGGGCTGGGACTGGATCTATTGAGGATGGCCCCGCTGCCAAAGACTCTGGTGCCGGAAGAAATGGCATCTGCTCTGTTTGGACTGCTTCGAGCCCAGATTTTCGTCTATCTCCTTCAGCCTCTTTGCTTTCATCCTTGCCATTTGCCTGCAAGTCGGTCTGACGTGCATTTCTCAAGCGGCCCCAAACAAATGTGCACCCACGGCCTCGGTTTTTGAGTCGACATCTTTGGCCTCCACATCTTTGATGAAAATTCCCACGGATCCTCAAGGCAAAGTTTTGTTTCCTCCATGATCAAGCTCCAAAAGGGTTTCTGGTAAACCTGCCTTGCCGAACTGACCCATTGAACGCGCTCCAAGTGTCCACAGAGGATAAGGTAAAACTTGTCGCCGGGATCACCCTGTTTGAATAGCGTGGTGTCGCGGGGAGCGCCTTCAAGCTTCAAATGCTGACACACCTGCATCTGCTCATTGTCACCCAAGTCCTGCACATGTTCGCATACCAGCATACCGCTGACGACAGCAAAAACTGACAGTCCTGAAAAAACTTGGTACGGCTTAGGCTAGCGGCGAAGGCCTGTACATCTTCAGGAGTTCTGCGATGCGGGGCCTTCCTGAGGATATGAAGTTGCCGCCGCAGGACCTCCTTGTTGGCACCCCCGAGGTCGCCTGCCATGATTGTCCCTTCCCACATGCACGCGCTGACGCGGCCAGCCTGACATCCTGATGCATCGCAATGGGCTCAAGTTCAATGCCCGTTCAACTTGTGGCTGCAGAATTGAGTGGTTTCATGGGGATCCGAGACATGGAGAACAAAGACATAACCTCTCATTGCTCTCTCAAGATTCTGGGATTGGCAACTGAAGCATGCCTTCTTTGAAGTCCACTTCTGCTGCTGCTTTCACATGTATGCTGAGGCAGGCGGAGAGTGGTTGCAGTGACACAGGCATCTTACCATGGTCTCACCTAGGCCAAGCTAGATACCAGCATTGTCTCTCCAACATTACGGATGGCCGTGGGGTATTGCGAGGTGGCCGCCCCACTTTTTTTGGCCAATTCAGTCGAAGTGTGGCTGCCCAACTTGCATTTTGGCTCGCCCGCAGCCAGCCACCACCCAGCCACCACCCCCGCAGGTTGACAACCTGCAACGCCTGCAGGTTGGCAACCTGCAGCCTTTGTTGCCCCAAGCCCCTGCATCCCCGGCATGTTGGCTTGACAACCTGCAACGCCTGCAGGTTGGCAACCTGCAGCCTTGTTGCCCCGAGCCCCTGCATCCACGGCATTTTGGCTTGACAACCGGCAACGCCTGAGGTTGGCAATCTGCAGCCTTTGTTGCCCCAAGCTCCGGCATCCTCGGCATTTTGACAACCTGCAACGCCTGAGGTTGGCAATCTGCAGCCTTTGTTGCCCCAAGCCCCTGCATTCCCGCCATTTTGGCTTGACAACCTGCAACGCCTGCAGGTTGGCAACCTGCAGCTTTTATTGCCCCAAGCCCCTGCATCCCCGGCATTTTGGCTTGACAACCTGCAACGCCTGCAGGTTGGCAACCTGCAGCCTTTGTTGCCCCAAGTCCCTGCATCCCTTGCATTTTGGCTTGACAACCGGCAACGCCTGAGGTTGGCAATCTGCAGCCTTTGTTGCCCCCAAGCCCCTGCATCCCCGGCATTTTGGCTTGCCAGCAACCCGCCTGACAGCCTGCAACGCCTGCAGGTTGGCAACCTGCAGCCTTTGTTGCCCCAAGCCCCTGCATCCCCCGGCATTTTGGCTCGCGCAACTAGCCACCACCCCTGCAGGTTAGAAACCTGCAGCTGCTTGACCAGCCACAGCACCTCCAGTTTGGCAATCTGCAGCTTTTGTTGCACCAAGACCCCTATGTGCCTAACCCTTTTTGCTCGCCAGCAACCAGCCATCAAGCTTGCAGGTTGCCAATGTGCAGGCTTTGTTGAACCAAAACCCTTCTATGCCCACCATGTTTTGCTCGCCAACACGCACCCATCCTGCAGCTGCTTGACCCTGGCATCCAGCCACAGCACCTGCAACCCTCCCCTGCAGGTTGACAATCTGCAGCGGCTAGACCCGCGCATCCAGCCACGACACCTTTAGGTTGCCAACATGCCAAGACACCCCTGTTTTGCGCTGGCGACACACACGCGCGCGCACCGACGCACACAGGCACACAGGCACACAAGCACACAAGCACACAAGCACACAAGCACACAAGCACACAAGCACACAAGCCACAAGCACACAAGCACACACAGACACAGAGACGCAGAGACACAGAAACCCAGAGACACACAGGCACAAACACACACAGACACAAAGAGACACACACACACACAGACACAAGAAAACACACACTCGCACAAAAACACAGAGAAGGACAGAGAGACACGGAGAGACACAGAGAGACACAGAGAGACACAGAGAGACACAGAGAGACATAGAGAGAGACAGAGAGACACAGAAGACACAGAGAGTAGAAAGAGAGACACAGAGAACAAAAACAGCACAGAGAGACATAGAGAGACAGCAAAAACAGAGAGACGCAAAGGGACACAGAGAGACACAGAGAGACACAGAGAGACACAGAGAGTAGAAAGAAAGACACAGAGAACAAAACAGCACAGAGAGACACAGAGAGACAGCCAAAACAGAGAGACGCAAAGGGACACAGAGAGACACAGAGAGTAGAAAGAGAGACACAGAGAACAAACAGAGAGACACAGAGAGACAGCAAAAACAGAGAGACGCGGACACAGAGAGACACAGAGAGACACAGTATAGAACAGGCAAAACAGCCTAGAAGGGTCAACTTCCAACCCTGCAGAAAGCGCGCCTTTCTTGAGCCATGCGTAGCGAGTATTGACGAAGCTACGCCTGTGAGGCACTCATGCAATTTGGGTTATTGACAAAATTAAGGTTGTTAAAACATCACATGGTGAAATACACCCCCCGTGACCAACAGTGAAACAGGAGGACAAATGTTAGGGATGAGCACAACCAATTTTCAACCCGATCGGCACGAGGTCTTTCGCAGGTTGTTTGTGAGCACCACGAAGTTGAGCAATAGCCAGTTAAGGACTTCCGCCTCTGCTGGCCACCGTTTTCGCGAGGCAGTACTCACACCTGTACATTGATCTCCGACAAACATGGTCGAACACAAATAGGAGTTGAAAGACTTGAAATGTAAATGGATGTCTGCCGCAGATGCCAAAAATTTGCAATCTTTCAGCGCCAATTCCAGTTACGGGAGCTTTTCCAAGCCGGGAGTCTTCCCACCACGCATCCCATGACTGGCTCCAGCTTCCCCAGTGGGACCGGTTCCAATTCCAATCGTCCCGCTGGCCGCCAGTTTCGAAATCTCGATGAGCTCGACCAAGACAGTCTTGGGGTCGCCAATGGATTCGAAGTCCTTCGTCCATCCCATGACCTTGTGTCTCTGGTCACGGTCGAGGCTGCCGTAGAGCGCCGCAAATTGCGCGGTTTGCGGGAATCTGCCACTGGACATCGACTTCGATGACTTCTTCTTGAGGTGGCACCAGCGTTAGCCGTGCGGCGTATTTGGGCACGGCCACAATCCCCTTGATCATGTCTTTGGTCCGCTCAAAACTCGGGATGACACACCTGGCGACCTTTTCGATGAACTCCAAAGCCGAGGGCGTCAGGTCTCCCCGAGCAGACGTGTACGCATAAAAGGGGTCGTTGGTGAGGCGTTCATACAAAGTCGAGTACTCTTTGTTCCGGAGTACTGCTTTCCCCTTGCACTGCGATCTCCACGGGGGGCGTCAAGATCTGAGTCTCGACTTGCTCCATCACCAAGGGGGCTCCGATGCTATTGCCATCTCTTGGAGGCGCACCACCCTGGCGATCTTCTTGATGTCGGGCATCCTTTCCAGGAGAGTGTCGCACTGAAAGCACTTGATGGTTCCAGGTTGGAGCCGCGACAGCCGGTGCAGTTCTGGTCAGGGACGTGCGTGATTCTTCTTGTTCGGGTCGAGATCTTGCCACACCGCGGGTTTCCCCGGGCTGCTGCTGAACAGCGCGAGCCCAGTTCCTGTAAAGCGCATACATTGCAGGGCAACTCGCTCCTCCTTCGGACGGTTTTCATCAAACACGTCCTTGCATTTGGTCGTGTTGCCGATGGGGTGCGGGCGCATGAGGTCTCGGCAACCCGTGGGCGACCAATTGCGGTAGTAGCCCTTACACTCCTGGGTCCATGAGAGAAACCAGCACCGGTGCAAGCGACTGCCCCTCTTTGACCGCGTCTTGGTATTGCTTGAGGCGCTCCTGGTAGTTCCGGCGCAAATTGACGTAGAGGCGATTCGTCCAAATGAAACGGGCATGCTCAGCATCATACGCATAAATGATGACCTTATTCTTTCGTGATGAGGGTCTCAGAGCCTACATCCAATCTGGGCCAACATTTCCACATCAACGGCTATATTGCTGTGCCGGTCCGCTCTTGCCCCACTAGCCTTGCGCCCAAACCTGTCCCAAGGAGGCACTGCCGTTAGGTAGGCGTGACTTGTGGATGATTGCCGCGAGGGGAGACGCCTATGTAAATGATATGGAAGAAGTTTTCCATGTCGCATCTGTGGTACGCGATTCTGGGCATCGCCTTTCGGCAAGCGTCCGTGAAGTTCCTGCAGAACCCCGGTCGCACACCTTTCTTCGCATGGTCGACGGTGTAATGCTCATCCATGGTCACAGGAGTACCCGGGATGTGGTTGAAGCCCGCCGCTTCGGTGATTCAATCATTGTTGCCAGTGATCGATTTCGCATTTAGCCCGTTCCACTACGCCCCGGGAGCAGCATGCCCCACATAGACTTCAAAGCGTGTCGATGAGCTTGCCGCCTGGAGAAGCACGTAGTGAGAACAGTGCCAATCAAATCTGCGTTTGAATCCACTTCGTCACGGCGGGGTAGTCGAAAGACAGATCATTCAGATCCACTTCGGGCATGGACCTGGTTGTGAGCGGCAACGCACCAAATAGGAGATCTTCTTGCTCAAAAAGGTCGGCCATGGTCAGCCATCTGAGGGGTGCTGATGCTGGAGCAGCTGATCCATTCCCTCTTTGGCTCCGCAGTGTGACCACGGGTCTCGAGCAACCTTTGCCTTTGGGGACATTCCCTGAGCCACGGATTTGTCCGGGCTGAGCACCACTGCTGCGCCTTCGGCATGTAGTTCGGCGTCGCCGCTGCGTGGGCAGCGGTCAGCTAGTTCGTGCTTTTGGCTTTTGATGACAGGATGAGCTTGATCTTGCCATCCTCCCCCACATCATTGGGATCCACAGCTGCAACTTTGACGGCCTCACCTTTCGGCCGGCTTGCCTTTGGCGTATAGCCAGGGGGCAAGTCCATGACTATGATCTCGGACTCATCGACGAAGTCCATTCGATCATATCGTCCAGGCCTCAGTGTGGATATCCGGCTGCATCATCCCGGGAGGTATCACGAGGGAACAAAGGATTGGTCTCCTTCTCCTCTTCGAGGAGGGGTATTCCCGTTCCCTAATTTCGTTGTCAAAATTCTTTGCAGAAGTTTCCTGAGGAGAAGCACCATAAATGGGGATCGATGTGTCGATCTCCATTGTACTCTCTCTCCATGGCGAACCAGTTGATTGCGGTCGCGACCTTGTGGATTGTGTGCCCAAGTTTCGCTGCAGCAACAAAGTATTGAATGTAGCAACGTCGATTGAGCTCGTTGTCATCGGTGTGGATGCGGTCCACCCAAAAAGTGTTGTTGATCAGGGTCTGGGGGTTGAGCACCGTGATGTTGCCCCCCGTGACGCACACCCGAGCG